GTGGGCATAAGACCACCAGGACTTAACTGGGAGGTCCTGCCTGGTCTGGGAGCTGCAGCTGCTTGGTGCCATAGGCAAGAGGCCTGAGAAACTGTCCTACAACACACAACTAGCTTAAAAGGGCGCTTAAAATCTCTTCTTGCTCCAAAGGAGTATGAATAGGATTTAGTCCCTCCTTCTTGGCAGTTGGGAGACTCATTCCCAGGCCCCTGTGGGGGGGGAATGTCTGACCGCAGCAGGAATTCACAGGAAAACAGCAGTTTGAGCTGACTTGCCTTCTTTCTTTTACTTATTCTCAGGGTCCTACCGGTGCTCCTGGTCCCAAGGGTAACCAGGTGAGTGAAGCTGCTCCTTCTCCTGGGATAACTCCCCTCCCATAGTCCCCAGAGATATTTAAACCGTGCCCGAGGTGCAGGGGGCACCAGGGGAAGAGGCTGCTGTAGAGTTCAGCTTTGGGAGGAGAGAACGTCCTCTTGCTGCAGCAGCTCTACAAGCGCTGAGTGTCCCCATCTCCTGTAGGAGCTGAGGTCACCCACGTCTCAGAGCGAGCCTTGTTGTCAATAATCTGTGTGCAGTGTTAATTCTGGTGTCTCACCCCCAGGGCATTGCTGGAGCAGATGGCCTCCCGGGTGACAAAGGAGAACTGGTAGGTTCCTCGGATTCAGTGGAGTTGGCTCCCAGACAGATGGGTCCAGGTGCCGTGTTCGTGTCACCTCAGCTTCCCAGAACCTGGGAGACTGGACTTCAGATGCATGTTTTGTGAATCTTATTTCCCTTTTCTTTCTAACAGGGTCCCTTTGGTCCCCCCGGCCAAAAAGGAGAGGTACGTGTCAGACACCGCGGGCTCATGCCTGGAAGGGTTGGGGAGTAAAGGTGCTTATCACATCTTTTGGTGATGGATCTCCATAAACTACGTTCTGGCGTTGCTTCCTAGAAGCACCTTTACTTCGTGGCCATTCTATAAAATCCATGACAATGACAATTTTCTTGGGGCATTCAAATGTGCTTGATCGTGACAAGAGCAGGGACTCCTCTTGGCACAACCTGTATTTATAAAATCACTCCTACGATGTAAGAAACGTTCGTGGTCAGCCAGATCAGTTAAGGAAACCCAAAGAAAGGCTTAATTGATTCTTCTGAGAAAAGAATGGACTGTGTTTTCTGTTTTAAATGGTTTTTTTTTATTCTTTCTTCATCACAGCCAGGAAAAAGAGGAGAACTTGGTCCGAAAGGCGTGCAAGGACCTAACGGGACAGCCGGGGCACCGGGGATCCCGGGACACCCAGGACCCATGGGCCATCAGGGGGAGCAGGGCGTGCCCGGCGTCACGGGGAAACCGGGGCCTCCTGTAAGTACCACCCCTTGTGGGGCGCAGTTGGGGGGTCCCTGAGGTCAATAGGAAAGGCCAGAGAAGCCCCAGATGAAATATCTGATCGTTAAAAGGAATCTCTGCCATTAGTGTGACGGAGCTGCTAAACTGAAACCCTCACCTTTTGGAAAGAGGGAAAACCCAACCCCTCTTCCCCCGGGATCCTGCGCTTCCCACCGAGCTGCTGGGAAGGAGTTTCCCCTCCCAGAGCTGCTGTCGGGGCTGGGTGTCCATAACATCGTTTGTGTAAGGCCAGATCCTTCTGTTAATTACAGGGCAAAGAGGCCAGTGAGCAGCGTATCAGAGAGCTCTGTGGGGAAATGATAAACGGTGAGTGTTACGGGGAGAAAACTGACTTTATTTGCCACATTTAGTGGGAGATGAGTAGATCCTTGAACACGAGATGGCTCCTGAGATTTGTTATTTTCCTGTCTTAATAAGAAAAGTGACGTTGACCTTTAATGTAAGGAAATTATTCTGGAGGTCACCTTGTCTGGGATGTCCTTCATTTTTCTAAAATTAGTATTTTTAAATGATTCATCCTGGTGCTACTCGAATTGTGCCAAAACCAGCCTTGAAAGAAGTTTCTCACGCACTTGTCTGCCCTCAGCCGGGTCGTTCTGAACTCCAGCTCCTCCCTCAGCACCCCCAGCCCCCAGAGAGCCCCCTTCTCTCAAAACTTACTGCTCTGCATCTATGGTCACTGTTTGGAATGAAGTTAAGCTCTGAAATATTGGTTCAGAAGACTCGTTTTAATTATTTTAAGTATCATTTTCTAGAATATTTGATATCTTTTAAAGTGGTTTAGGAAACGGGAGATATCAATGACTTAGAAACCTGCAGGTGTCTGAGCAAAATCTTCCTCTCTGGGGATGTAGAAATAAAAATAATTTTAAAAAAATGATGAGAACACAGACCGATGTCCCATCGTTTTAATTATTTTAAGTATCATTTTCTAGAATATTTGATATCTTTTAAAGTGGTTTAGGAAACGGGAGATATCAATGACTTAGAAACCTGCAGGTGTCTGAGCAAAATCTTCCTCTCTGGGGATGTAGAAATAAAAATAATTTTAAAAAAATGATGAGAACACAGACCGATGTCCCATTTCCTCCTGCCAGGAGCGGTGAGGGTGTAGGGGTGGGGTGAGGGTGCAGGGGTGGCAGGGTGACCCTGCAGTTCCCAGGTCCTCCCTCAGTTGAGGACACTTGGTGGCAGAGGACGAACAGCCAAGAAAAGAGTGAAAATGTCAAACGTGCCGTTTTTAATTGTTTCTTTCAGACCAAATAGCCCAGTTGGCTGCCAACCTGAGGAAGCCCTTGGCTCCTGGAATGACGGGTCGTCCTGGCCCAGCTGGTCCCCCAGGTCCTCCCGGTGCTGTGGGAAGCGTTGGACATCCCGGTCCTCGCGGTCCCCCCGGATACAGGGGGCCAACAGGAGAACTCGGTGACCCTGGGCCCAGAGGTAAGTCCAAACCAACCTGCTTCTCCCTTTTTTGCCCATGAAATAAACTGCAAACTTGTACCAATTTCAGGAAGAAAGGTCAGGCCCTGGGCAGCTCATGTGGTTCCAGAGGGTGGGTTTGAGTCTTTAGGGTGCAGCGTAAGCAAAGATCCTACCCAAGGATGGCCTGAGGACTCTGAGTTCCTCTTGTCTCTCCCCCTCCTTGCACCCTCCCCACTGAAACTGTCTATTTTTGATTAAGGTGACACTGGCGAAAAGGGAGACAAAGGACCTGTTGGTCAAGGCATTGACGGGCCTGATGGTGACCAAGGACTTCAAGGTAAGGCTGTGCACGTGACTGAATAAACCATGATAAAGTAAAGGCTTAAGAGGGAGAACCCTTAAAGAGCAAGCTGGAAAGCTCCAGCCTGGACCACCAGCTGCGGCCTCCAAACCTCAGCTCGTGTCTCAGGGTGAAACAAGAGAAATAGGGGACAATATTTCATTTTACCAGCAACAAGCCTGGCCTTCCCAGTGCAATGATTCTGAGAGTGTAGAGCTGGTACTGCTCTGTACCTGGCTACACTCCCAGGTCCTAAATCATGAATCCTTCATCAGAGGATTCGGAGATTAATTGATGCAAATTGACAAGTATGTATTAGAAACTTGGAAGAATGTTATTTATTCTGTTCACCCACTAAAGCGGCTTTTCTAATTGCAATTACATCCGCACAGTGATTAACTTGCATCTGTATAATTTCATAAAACCAGTTCTACACTGGTCAGCAGAAGTCAAACACTAAACATCTGCCTTCAACTACACCCAGATCATTCCAGTAAATCCAAATGTATGAAAAAAAACCAACCAAAACCCAACTCACATACTCCAGCTTCAGGTTAAATTTATTCAACACCTTGTACTCAACAGGCCATAACAATTCTGATGTACAGACACACAAAGTATTTTAAATAAATTGAAAAGTAATACATATATACATTTAAAAAAAAAAAAAACAAAGCCAAAAGGGAAGGCAATAATTCCTGTAATCTTTCTCCCCTGCTTGTTTAGGACCACCCGGTGTACCTGGGATCACTAAGAACGGTCGGGACGGTGCTCAGGGTGAACCTGGTCTCCCAGGGGATCCCGGGACTCCTGGGGCTGTCGGGGCTCAGGGAACGCCGGGAATATGCGACACCTCGGCTTGTATGGGAGCTGTCGGAGCATCGACTTCCAAAAAATCATAGAGACAACACACGAGAAGTGGAGAAGTGACTGAGTATTTAAATAAACAGTGCATTGTAAGAAACCAGACAGAATCCTCCTAGTGCTAAATGGACACATGTTCCTTCTATTGTATTAAGTGGAGACTTTGACACAGTTCTATGAAAAAGAAAGCATCAGATTTGAACACTTTAATTGCAAGATGCTTTATGAGTATTTTCTCCTCCCCCCTTCCCCCCAGTTATTTCCCAGAATTTTTACTGCTAAACCACCTCACCTTCCTTTTCTCCCTTTGCTCACGAGACCTGCAAGGGGAAGCAGTGTTCCTTTTTCCATCACCCTCCCCAACTCTACTTAAGATCCTGAATTTTCTGTACAAAGGGTTGAGCCTTGTGGGATGAATCCCTTGGTCTGAGACACAGGCTATTCAGGGATTCGGGCACCTCACTGCTACTCCCATCAGTGGAAATCAGCATTTAAATAGCCCATATTTTAATATCTTAAGATTCTGGCCTAAGTAAAGAGCATAGATATGTGTATGCTGTCTGTTATCAATTGTCAGATGGCACCACAAACATTTGCCAAGACTAGTAAACACTAATCCTCTTGCAATCATATTCTGCAAAGGGTGTAATGTATATATTTTTAATTTACAGGGGAGGATTTTTGTCTATTTCCATATGATAATAAAGGACATTAAGTAACAGCATTTTCACGACCTCTACTTAAGCTATTTGCACAGTAATTGTGGCTGAAACCCCAAATAAGAAAGGATGCTCTTCTGAAGTACAGCCAAAACCACCTGTACGAACTGTTGTAAAAATAAAAGGAGATTTTTTTTTTAACCTTTTCTTTGTGATGGTGTAAGTGTCATTATACACATCAAATTAACTCAGCTGAACGGCATTTTCCAGAACCGGTTTTACTAGGATTGTTTGGAAATAAACTTATACACATCAAATTAACTCAGCTGAACGGTTTTACTAGGATTGTTTGGAAATAAATTGCAGCAAAATTGTCCATATCCGTGATTTAAAACAGGATTATTTTGGGAGACCTTTTTGTACTTTAAAACCTGCCAGCATCATCTATCTTAAAAAATGAATAAAACCACTCTCAGCTCACCCACTATTCTATTCCTGCCCTATATGCTAAAACTTATGAACAGAGGAGTCATATTAATCTCGAAATATGAAAATAGTTTCTGCATTTAAATAATCTACTGTTTACAATGTGCCACTCTTGGACTAAAGTAACAACCTAAGAACCTGTTGGACAGTTGTGTGATAGACATTAAAAACAGGACTATATTTAAAAAAAATGCTAACACCATTGGTTTACTCTTTGGGACCGAGTATATTAAAATATCTACAGCAAATATGGACTTCATAGTATCAGCACAGTTTAGAAACCATGCACTGATTCAATTAACCAATACAGCCTTGAAAATTTTAATGGAAAAAATGGCCATTAGAATGTGGAAACTAATTTCTTTTTACATTGAACAGTACATTTGCATCTAGTCATTAAAATAACAGGACAGACTGACAGTCTACAACTCTACCTAACTGTACTGCAGCATCTTTAAAAAAAATCAATGCTACAACACAAACAAAAAAACCCAAAGCAGAACCAGAAACAGAAAAAGAACGCAGTTTTCTGGTAACTAAAGGGGAAAAATACTTAGCTGTCATGACATTTTCTTGTAGCTTCTGGTCCCAAAGCCCCTTTAAGAGAGCACTGATTGCTATTGCTGGTGGTTAACTTTGGTTTCTGTTTTGAATAAAGTTTTCTTTAAAGCTCTATTTCTATATTATTACAAGTTACGGTTTGCAATTCATATTCAGGATGTAAACAGAGAGAATAAATTACAGTTTGGGCCACTGTTAGCCAGCCACACTTGTCACACAACTCAAGGCGGTCAGTTCAGGCTACTTGGTCTCCATAGCCATGCGTGTTTTCCTGCACTGGGCACGTTACAAATGAGTCTGATCTTGCTATTTTTAGCCTCCTGCCTGTTTTACCACAGAACAGAGTCTCAAATTCCTAAAAAAATCAAAATACAAAAAAAAAATAAAGAACAATTACGTTTAATGTAGGTATTTACTCGAGAGATAAGTTGTTTGTTTCACTAGTGTCTTGGAAAAAAAATACTACGCCTTTAGTAGAAGTGCTGAGGAGCTGCAGCAGTATCTAGACACACTCCAGCTATCCCTTAGGATACTTAAAAGAGCCAGGCTCACTCTGGGGCTGGAGCTACTGGTGTGGTGTTGGGAGCTGGTCATGGGGAATATGAGCCTTTATAGCTCTCACCCGCTTTGAGATCGTGTGGGCATGTAGCTGTGAGTCCCATCATTTAATTATGATCTCGAGAAAATTAAGGAGGGGAGGGTGGGGAGGAATTCTACAGTGCTGTCCTGACAGTATCATGCTCAGGAACTGGGCTAACTTAAAAAAAAAATATATATAAATTTCAAAATCTGATTAGAAAACCCTGACTGAGGACGGCCTATGATTTCACACTACTGAACTGAAACTGTTGTGAGGACAGCTATTAAAAACAAAAAAACATTTTTCAAAGACATTTTCAATGATATAAAGGTCCTTCACAAACAGCATCAAGCAGAAGCGTTCCATATACATTAAAACATTCCACATCTTTATCAAGAACAAAAATGAAATTAGATTTAAAACCTTTTTCAGAGAGTCACCGTGCCTTTCCTGAATGTACTTCAGAAATGAAGTTGTCCACTGTAAAGTCGTTGCTTTATCGGTGTCGATGGTGCAGAAGGGGACCAGGAGATTGAGCTCGTCACAGCAAATCCGGATCCTGCGCCTACGGGGAGATACAAAACGGGGTCAATCCACCCGCAAAAAGGGAGGAAAAAAGTAAAATGAAAGAACTACTCACCCACACTACAAGCCAGAACGTTGGGGAGTTCGTTTGGTTTGCTACAAGCTCTGTGTTTGTGTATTAGTCACGTTATATGCAAGTTACCTTTATAGAATTGGTTAAATGTTTTGAAATCTCTCTTTTTGTTTGTTTATAGAGTAAGAAAGCCAAAGACGACTACACTGAAACATACACACTTTTTTCCTCTAACAAAGAGCAACCCCTCACCACCTCCATTCTTTTCCTTGTTTTACCTAAAACAAAGTATGTCAAATTTACATTTCACTCCGGATAACGACAGCAGTGTTACAGTATTTGTATTTTAGGCTTCAAAGTCTCCTGTCTCACCCCTCCTGGTGGGAATTACCTCCTGTCTCTCTCCATGCGGTTGTGTCTCTCCCTTCGCTGGTCGATCCCCTCCTGTGTCCCGCTCTGCCCCTGCAGACTGGGGTGAGCCTGGGGGGGCTGCCAGGGGCCCTGGGCTGGGGCAGAGCTCTGGGTATCGTCACTCACGTTCTGAATTTCACTCAGAGGTTTGCGATCGACGTTGGAATCCGAGGGGCTGACCCGGCTGCAGCTTCTTCTGTTTATGGCTTGCTTGCATATGGTGTCTTCTTGGAAAAACAAAGAGGAAAAGAAGAACCTATTTATAACCCTCCCACTAATCACTGAAAATGAAGATCATGGACTTTATGTCGAATAATCTTTGAAGCTCTATTGCCAGCCTAGATGAACTCTTACAGCACTGCATGTCCTTTGGAAGCCTGAGGGCACTGCTGGCTGTTTCAAAACCCACCTGGCTTCTGTTTTCTCAGAGAACCCGATGAGATCGTGCCTGCCTTCGACGAGCATTTGAGGCAGACCTTTAGATGTTCCTGACTGGATTTGCTCTGTCAGCTTTGGGGTCAAAAGCATACAAAGAAACCAGTTGCCTGCTCTATCCCCAAATTTTTCCAAGGTACTTTGCAACCTTGGGCCTTCTCATTTCAAGCTAAAGAATTTCTAAAGTCCAGCTAAAATCATAGGTGTTGAACTATTTTGGAGAAATCTACTCCCATACTCCCTAAGCACATCTCAGACATAAAAACCACACCTTGTACGATTCACTAAAATCATATTCATTCTAAACACACAAACATTCAGAAAAAATGTAGATTTGAAGGCCAAGAGCAAGTGAAGTGAAAAGAAGATAAATGATTTACCTCCAACTTTAATCCAAACTTCCTCAGGCAACGCTTTATTCATAGCACCTACTGTCTGTTTTGTGGATTCGATTTCCTGATAGCAGAATGAGAATGTCTTGGGTATCCCAAGGTCTTGATGTTTGGCAGCTTCCAAAATAGTGCAAGATGTTCCAGAGGCCTGTGAAAACCAAACCAGAAATACTTAGAGGACTATATACATAAAAGAGAGACTATTTTGATATCTTCCTGTTAACTTCTTAAGTTTTAGCCCCATGATTCAATGTATTGTATCAGAATAAATCTCAATTACTTCTGCAGACCACAACCATAGGATTTTAACAGATTGCTGCATTTTGGGGGGATACCTCTGACATTTCTGAGTGCCTTGCTGCAGAGGTTACTGCCATAGAAAACGGTACTAAGTGTCTCCTTCTTGTCATAGAAGCATAGGATTGTCTGGGTTGGAAGGGACCTTTAAGATTCAACCATCTACCTAACTCTGATAAAATACATCACTAACCCATGTCTCTAAGCACTATGTTAACCCATCTTTTAAATCCCTCCAGGGATGGTGCCTCAACCCCTTCCCTGGGCAGCCCGTCCCAAGGCTTCATAACCCTTTCCATGTAAAAATTTTTCCTAACATCCAATCTGAACCTCCCCTGGCACAACTTGAAGCCATTTCCTCTTGTCCTAAATTCTTAACAACTTGAGGCCATTTCCTCTTGTCCTAAATTCTTGTCTGGAATGGATGAAGCAGATACACTGATAAACTCAAGAAAAAAAGTCCTCCCAGTAAGAAATCTAACAGCCTATTGGTCATTACCCAGATGGATGCTATTACAAATAATGTAACTGCCACACAATTGGTTTTCATGGCAATTTACTTTCGATGCTCTTAAAGATTAACATAAGAATAAACAAATTGCATTAGAGATCATTCTGATCATCCCTTTTGGGCACAAACCTTTAGAATTACATTACACTTAAGAGGTTACCACCATTAGCATTTGAAATGAGAGTATTGGTGAGCAGGTCACCCACCTGTGCTTGTGCAGGGTTAGCTCCTCCCGCAGCAGAGCAGGCGTTCATGGTAAATAAGGGGTAGGTGAACTGCAGAGAAGGCGCGGCGGGTGCAGGCTTATTTTTCCCCAATGCCACACACTTGTTCTCTTGCTGATGAAGAGGAACACCGATCAGTTCTGAGGGCTGGCGAATCAACGTTACTAAACTTCAAAAAAAAAAACAAAACACAAAAAAAAGCAAGACAGAAAAACACACCAGACTGACTACTTGAAAATGAGGGCAGAAAAATTTACAGCTACACATACTTCTAGTAACTACCAGCAAGAAACCACTTTCAGTTACTTTCATTAGACAGAAATCATTATTCGTGACATATTGCCAACTTCAGGGACAAAAAAAAAATAATAATCAGCTGAGAAGGTATTTTATTCTGTGCAGTAACAATTAAGCTCTATGCCTCACTAAACTCTTTTATCAGCACACTAGTGCAGTTACAGGGCCAGATTGTAAAACACTGTTTTTGCTCAAAATTTCCCCACAGTCAGGCCTCCACATTGTAACACTCATCAACTGCTCCTAATGTTTTATTACGATCAAAAATTTTACTTTGCTTTTAGCGAGTTGCATGTTAAAACCAGGCAATGTTCTTCTCTCGCCTTCACTTACGTTACACGTTGTTATCAAGAATAATTAGTTTTGGAAATACATTCTGCACCATTTATGCAATTATACAGAGGGGCCTCATCTGAGCCAGTGGAGTCGCAGCCACGTTTGACTGGCACAATTTAAAAAAGCCCAATCGATCATTCCCATATATTAAAAAAAAAGTATCTTCTTAGGTTTCAGGTAGAAAATCAGTTTTGAACTATATGACGATACATAGTTTAACAACATAAACTAAAATTAATTGCAACACACTTGTTAAGAGTTACTCCAGATTCTTGGGGTTCTTGACATCTGGGGTTTTCTGTCTGGATGCTGTTGAATCTGTCTTCCAACCGAACTCTGACTGCAGATTTAGATCTAGGCTCTGGTGCCAGTGCCGAATTTTCAACAAGAACATTTTCTTTATTCGCCCCATCAAAACTTTCATCATGTTTAACTTTCACTAAGCTGTATCCTGGGACTTCTACTGAGCCACCGTTAGACGTTTTATCTGTTCGGCTCAAAGGGAGGTTGGACTCGCTCAGCAGCATCATCCTGAGCTCCTGAAAGTCAGCATAGCCCAAACGCGGGTTGGAGCCCAGCAAACTGCTGTCAGAAGTTAACCCCAACTGACAGGGAACTGGGTAAACCGACTGGTTCCCCGAGCTGTTTGATGAACACCCCTCCTGACTGCTGTTCAGGGAGGTCTGGTGCACAGGGGGGTCTGCAGAGTTACCGGGCGAGGAGAGAGAATTGAGCCTAGCTTCCACTTCACCTTCACTAGCTTGTGCCTCCGCGTGCGAGTAAAGTATGTGCTGCAGCTGGGTATATTCAATTTCCATCATCTCCACCAGGCTGACGTCTGTGGTGGTGAAGCTAAGATTTTGCTCACCAAAGGAAACGTCACTTGAGCTTCCAGGTCCAGCAGCCACCGGAGCGGGATCAGGAGCGCTCGCTGTGCTCTGAGGGACGGAGGTCTGGGGCTCCTCTGGGGCTGATCCTGACATGGCTACAGTAAACCTAAGCAGTGACCAACGTCTCTTTCAACAGTAAACCATAAAACCTGCGAGAATTATCATTCTACCCATGAAAAAAAAAAATAAAAAGAGGCAGAAAAAAAATAATAATGCACTTAATATCGATTCTGTAGCACCGTGAGGTGGCAAAGGAAGGAAGGAGCTCCTGTACCGGACAATCTGACCATGTCTCCTCCCCAGGCCAGGGGGAAGCCCGCCCTCCGTCCCACCGACACGGCTGCTCACGACAAACGGGCTCCACCGGCCCGGGGAGAGCGGCTCCGGGCGCTCTGCTGCCTCCGGCTCCCTCAGAGGAGCCCCCGCCAGCCCCCGGGGGGCGAGGAGGGACAGGCCTCGCCTGACTGGAGCCGGGGTGTGGGGGGGAGAGCAGCTCCCTCGTCCCCCCCAGCAACGTCCGGAGGGCGGAATACGGTCTGGGCCGGCGGCGGGGAGGTTCCGGAGGGGAGGGAGGCGGAGGAGGGAGGGGACCCCGCCGGCCGCCTCAGCCC